TGTGTGTGTGTGTGTGTGTGTGTGTGTGTGTGTGTGTGTGTGTGTGTTAGTGGTAAAGGAAACTACGGAAACAGCGTTATGGAATATTACATATGCTAAATCATTGTGTACTGTATGTATGAGTATGTGGTGCATGTGTATGTTTAAGGCTACAGGTTTCAAACAGAAGAGCATTTATTTTACATGTAATAATCATAAGTTTTGACAAGAAAGAAATACATTTTTCATTTCATAGTAAATGGCATTACACAGTTTTGAGTACTAAATCATCTTGACATTTATGAAGGACCAAATGGAAAGTAGGGAACTGAGTGTGTTAAAATATAAAGCCATCTTTAACTGTTCTATTAAAAAGCAAAGATTTATTTTCCATCTGTGATCTGAATGTGCCTATTTGTGTTCTCTTCCATGGCAGTGGAATTTCTTTGGAGCCACACGACAGAGAGCATGTGTGTTGGATATATGTCAGCCCAGGATGGGAAAGCCAAGGTAAGCGGGAAAACTGGGGCATAACCTGAAAACCTTGCAGCTGTTGCATGAACCTCTAACCAGTGAAGTTGATAAAAATGTATTTTTTTCAGCCTCTGTTGAGCAGTAGCTCTGTGATCTTTATGAGAATCTGATTAAGAACAGTTAATGATCCCAAAGAGAAACAGCAGATCTTTTTAGCTTTTGATGACAGAGCAGGGGAGATTAGGAAACACTACCCCACCCCCTTTATTTTCACCTTGTTCTTCCTCAGCCATCGTGAATAACTGGAAAAGAAGAAACTGGGGATTGGGAAGAGAAAATGGGAGTAGAGCTGATGGGCTGACAGGGCTGAGTGATTTTGCAGGGAGTGTTGGAATAGATCAAGGAAACTGAGTGCCTAGACATCACCCTGCATGTGCAAGGGTGGAGGTGGCTGAGGTGCTTGCACATATGACTTGTCTAGTGCTCTGGTGTGTCCTGGCATGCCCTGGCACCGTGTCCTCGTGAGCAGAGTCAAAGGTCTGTACTCTGTGTGACACGTGCCTGTGGCATGCATCCCTCAGTGAGTCACAACAATCACATAGACATACACAGCTTCTCATGCATTGCTTGGTTTCCCTGCATCCATGATGGGTGAGTCTATATAAGAAATATAATTTATGGATTTTAGTTTATACTGGATTCATGTTCTTCTTCATAAAATTTTTAGAAACAGCTGTGGCATATGATGTTTACTTGGTATTAAGTACCTCAATTGCAAAGCTGTGAAGTTGGGCAGCCTCTTTTTTAAAGGACATAATTTATTTTGCACATTTGGAAATATAAGTAAGGAAACTTCTGATATAAATGTCTGATATAGATTGAATCATTAACGAATTAAGGATACATGTAACAAATTAAGGATACATGTCAGTTTATTGCTAATTTATTTGTTATTTAACTAACCCATCCAGTCTGGCCTCTGTATATTATCCAGCAAGCCAGTAGCATCAAGAGCATTTCATCAGACAAAGATTGGCTTATATTTGTAACAATGTTACTGAGTTCTCCTCCTCTTTGTCTTACCCTCACCTAATACAATATTCATATTATACTAGTAGACTTATTTTATAAGAGACTGCACGGAAATTGCCTTGTTTCATAGCATATACAGAAGGAAATTATAGCTGCTTGTTTTAAAGCAGACTTTTGAGGGGTGCCTGGGTGGCTCAGTCTCTTAAGCATTCAACTCTTGATTTCAGCTCAGATCATGAACTCAGGTTTGTGAGTTCAAGCCCTGTGTTCGGGCTCTCTGCTGGCGTGGAGCGAGCTTAAGATTCTCTGCTCCTCACCCTCCCCACTTGTTCTCTCTCTCTCTCTCTCTCTCTCTCAAAAATAAATAAATAAATAAATAAATAAATAAATAAACAAACAAACAAACAGAAAATAAAGATGATTTTTGAGTTTAGAGTAACATTACCTAATAGAATTTTGGGTGATGACTGAAATGTTTTATATTTATATTGTGTTGTCCAGTAGGTTAGCCACTAGTCATATGTAGCTATTGAGCACCTGAAATACAGCTAGTATGCCTGAGGAACAGAATTTTAAATTAGTTTAAATTTAATTTAAATTACTTATTTTTAATTTAGATAGCCACATGTGGTGAAATGGCTACCGTATTGAATAGCACAGGCTTAAAGAATGAGTGGAAAAATGGTTATTCAAAAAAGTATTTTCAGAACATTCTTTTCTTCCCAATGACAAAACCATTCCCAACTATAAAATAAGCCTGAGGAGCCACAGTAATGGCTTGCAGCCATTTAAGTTTCTCTCACCCCTTACATATTGACTCTAAGCTAAAATTGCTTTTTAATAAAGGAACATATATGAGGTAGACTTTAGTACTGAAGCCAGTCTAGTCTGATGGGGGTACACCATCATGTTATTAAGTCCCTTGAGCGGAAATGTTCTAGTTATCCCTGCTGGTGGCCTGTGGAAGACACCTTACTATTTAACATGAAATATGGGTAGTAAAGAGAGTGGAGAGTCCTGCATTGAGCCCAAAGATGTTTGGCCTCTAGTTGCATTGCTTGACATCTGGTGGACGTGGTTTTCGTATTGCTGGTAAATTCTCCAGCTGGTAGTCTTGATTGGGCCAACAGATACAGCTGCTCCTCTTGCCTCACTTGTAAATTATGTTTTTGACCTTCCTTGCAGAGAGTTAATCCCTCTCCCTTTCTTCCTCCTTTGAGCCTGTGGCTACAAATGCTTTCCAGAAAGAAAAAAAAAAACCCAAAACACTAATGCTTTGGCTGCTGAATTCTATTGATCAAAAAAACCCATCTCTTCTGTCATAAAGGCTGGAATTTTATTGTATTGCAAGTAAGACAATGTTATAAATGAGAAGCTGGGCTCAAAAGAGAAAGCGGCTATAGCAAAGTTTGTATTCCTTATAAGAAAGTAAGCTTTTGGCCTACCCCTCTGGTTTCCTGACTTCTATGAAAAAGTTGTTGAATTAATGGCATGCCCGTTCAGCATGATGACTGGTTTGTGAAACATGCTCTCACATAATATTGAGATCCATGGTAGCAAATGAGAAAGAAGGCATCTTTAAAAACTAAAACTAAAACAAAACCAACAACAACAAAGCACACACATTTTTTAAATTTAAAAACTATTTCTAAAAAGTTTTTTTCGTTTCTTTTTTTTTAATTTGGACTTCTTGTTACCAAACTCAGAAACTAAAGCCACCTGGCCATTTGAACATTTTATATAAGCTAGCTATGTTCAGTCTAAGTTAAGGCCTTGAATTAAAGCTCACCTCAAAATCATAGTGCTTTAAAAAAGCTGGATAATAAATATTATTGTAACCAGAGTCTGTATACAATCTGAATAAATAGAGGTAGGTTCTTTTACAAATTTCTTTCTTTTCTTTTCTTCTCTTTTTCATATAGAACATTCTTTTAATTATATCATTTTAATTTAATTTCTAAACCTTCTGTAGCATAAGTTAGAGATTTTTTTTTTATTAAACCAAAATTAGGGCATTGATACCAGTTGGATTTAAAAATCAGATTGCCTATATCCTGCCCAGATAGTAGTTAATGAACAGTTTTTAATAAACACCCAGTGTGCATGGACTACTGTAATAAAAACAGATGTTAAAACTGGCATGGAACTTATTGAAGTGTAATAAGTGAAACCTAGGTTTCTTTTACAGTTTTATAACTTTCTATAACAGTAGTGAAAATACTGTTATAAAAATTCATTCTTGAGGAAGAGCAGGCTGTTTTATGGTCTTAAAGTGTTTCCCCACAGATATCTTATTAGTTGCAGAAAAAATAATATATATATAATGGGGAAACCAGGCAACAACTTGACCTTGTGATCAAAATTAATGTGACTGGTGAGGGGCAGATGGACATCATTTGCCTCTGGATGTGATAACCTGAGAAAGACACAACATCGCTTTTGTAGTATTCCATCTGGAAGTGCATAACCTGAATCTAATCACAAAGAAACATCAGACAAATCTAAAATGAAGAACATTCTATGAAGAAAGAAAAAAGGGATTATATTCTTAAAAAATGTCAGTGTCATAAAAGACAAAGGCTGAGGGAAATGCTCCAGATTAAATAATACTAGAGTCTTGGCAACTAAATGCAATACTTGATCCTAGACTAGATCCTACATGGGAGGGGAAAAATGCTATAAATGCATTATTAGGTCAATTTACAAAATTGAAATATAGATAGTAAAAAGTGTTGTATCATTCTTAAATTTGTTATAACTGTACTGTGGTATATAAAGAAATATTTTCACGCTTAGAAAATACACACTGAAGTATTTAGGGATAGAGGGCCATAATATATACAGTATCTTCTTAATGGTCCAGAAAAAATATATGGATGGATGGATGAATGGTTAGATAGCAAAGTAATAGAGCAAAATGTTATCAATAGGTGAACCTGGGTAAAGGATGTATGGATGTTCCTTGAACTATTCTGTAATTTTGAAATTGTTTTTGCATAGAAATTTTTAAAAATATATCACCCTTGGATATTATGGCACATTTGATAAGTTTTGAAATGAATAAGTATTGGAATGAGTGCAGTGCCAGGCAGCTGGAGCCTGGGTTCTCCCCCAACTCTGTTTATTTAGTGTGATCACTCTGCCTCTTGGGAACTCAGGAGTCCTCATCTGTAAAATGAGAATAAGAATACCTTAGTATGCCTTAAGTCCTTTCTGGGATAAAGTACGATAACAACAAAGAAATAAAATCTGTCTCTCTGAATATGGTTGACTGGATTCTATTTAGTCCTTGATATATTATGGATATATTATATATATTATAGATATTTGAATATATTATGATCCTAGATACTTGCCTCCAATCTGCAATCTGCAAAATTCTAAATTCTACATTCCAGATCACATAAGCAGATATATTGCTATTCAATTTTCAGTACAATTTTTGCAATCCCATTGTAGTGTATTTACCATGTTTTGTTTTTTTTGAAGATAGTTTCTGAGGCTTTAAAAAAATCTCGATAAACATGTATTTAGAAGGGTTAGGACAGATGGGATTTCTGAGAATTTTTTGTTAGGCTTAATGTACCTCTCAAATAAAATCATAAGAGGAAGACAAATATAAAATGGGAGGTAAACAAGAAGCAGTTATCAAAGGAATTGAGAAAGAGATTTCCATTCCCAATTAAGATGAAGACACTTTTGCTCCTACCCCCAACAATGAGAATGAGCTGGATAAACTATAAAATCATAAATTTAAGAAAGCATCCTAAAAACTGAATATGCTAGAAAAACCTAAGTGAACTAAGGCCCAGAAAGAATTTTAGGACAGAAAAAACCTCTTGACTGATTTATTTCTGGCAGAACAGTGGGAAGAGGAGTAAAACTGATCTAGAAGAATATAAAGAGAAACCAGCCAAACTTTCAATGAACTATTTATAGCCTCATGTGAGTGGTGTGACAGATTAAAATCCTAAGAAGCCCCAGTCACAGGGTGAGTCTTGCAC